CTTTCAAACCCAGCAGATAAATTTTTTTGTACATTGCCGTCAAATTTTTTTAAAAACACAGAACTGTTACAACTTGGTACAAGTTTTTAAGACCACAGATATTTGAGAAATGGCACAAATGCCTCAAATTGTTCATTCACACAAGTAAAATAATCCAAAAATGGCTAACTACGTTTAGTATATTGCATTTGTATCCACCAGCGTACATAACCTGCAACATCCATCCCTTTGCTGCAAATGTTAATTCCATTAGAAGCCTCATGTCAACCAAAATCTAGGGAAGAAATGTGAATAAGTAACCGAGGATGCCTCGACTTTTATTTAGTGCCTTCTCCAGTTTTCAGTGTTGAGTTTAATCTGGAGCTCAGCTGGTTGCTGTTCCCTCCAGCCAGCAACGTTAAGAATAACTCACCAGTTTGCAACAGGCAGCCTCTGGTGTGTGGAACAGACACAAGCTGTTTATCTGAAGGTGTAGACCTTTCTATTATTGGAACTGCCACAAGCCTGTCTGGTTAATAACGTGTGTTTTTGTCTGACTGAAGAGAGACACAGTTTGTTGATTTTCAGGAACTCACCGCCTGCAGTAGTGGTGACTTTCTGCTGACTGTCTGCAGTGAAGTTATTAAAGAGACTATTAATCTGCATCTGGCCAGACCTCTGGGGTTTAAGTTACCGTTTAGGTTTTTGGTCACACTGTACTCAGGTAGTCAAATATTGATGTTCAGCTTACATCGAGTTTTAGGTCATAAAAAATGTAAGAAGAAGTCTGTCTGTGGGTTAGATGGGGTAACAGCAAATAGGCAAGTGACTTAGCCAGCATTTATTTTTATCAATAATTTGCCTGTTGATAACACTTTATTTAACTAAAGTTTTAAAAAAAAGATGTAAAAAAAAAGCAAAGTGTGCAGACCAATGTGCAGCTTTTAGACCCAACTCATGTGAATAAAAGCTGTAAAATCTACAGACAGAGAAGTTTGGTTTGGTGCAAATCTCTAAAAAATAACAAACTGATCATGTGCAAATCAAATTGAACTCGTGGGAGGAAGCTGCAAGATTTTAATGTTTTTTTTTTATGTGATTGCTTTGATTGCTCGTTGAGTCGACACAGCTGATTAACCGATTAGTTGATCGAGCTGAAATATTTTGATGATAGTTGTAGAAAAAACTTTCACATTTTTCCAACTATGAAAACGCAAAACCACACAGTACAATGATCCCAGAGCTGGGGGATGAAAAACTGACAAACTTGGCACAATAAAAAGTGTCACTCAGTTGATACCAGTGATTATTGATCACTTTTAATGAGCTAATTTTAACAAAGATCATGCTAGAAAAAGGGTGATTTGAATTTAGCTACTTTGACCTTTTTATCAGGATAAATAATTTTATTGTTAACACAAAAAGGAAAACACAAATACATAAATGTGCACACATAAATGAAAATAAATGAGGATTCAGGATGATCTCATTTTTGTCTCACTGGCCTCAACTTGCTTCCTCATCTAATGCATTTAAGTAAAACTTTTAAAAACTCTGTTCATCCAAAAGCTGATTTAGTTTCTCCTTCTGTGCCACAGACCTCCGTTTTGTTGCGCTGCTTGATATATTTTTATTATGAAAAAAAAGGACTTTAGAGTTTATTTAGAAAGAGCCAATAACAGCTATCACCACTTCAACATCTTCGCTTTTAATTAGCCACTTTTCAAAGACATGAAAATATTCTCTTCGTGGCATTTCTTGACTTTAGGAAAAACAAAACCAGCCAATGCAGGCATTTAAGTCATTTTTAGACAAAATCGTAAAAACATTTATCAGCTACAGTCATCTTCAAATTTATTCATACCCTCCCATTAAAGAAAAAAACACAGCTGTCACTGAGATGAGTTGAAATTAGCAAAAGTAATAATAAATAAAAGTTTAATGAAAATCATGACATTGTGGTTCAACAGAAATAAAAACAACAAAAACAAGCAAACAAGCATAATGGGACCCTGAACTAGTATTTTGTTGAACAACTCTTTGAGCCAATCACTGCAATCAAGTGTTTTCTGTAACTCTCAATCAGACGCCTGCACCTGTTGACAGGTATTCTGACCCACTGCTCATCAGCAAAGTGCTCTGATTTTTCTGGGACAGTTTTGTTTGTTTTTTTAAATTATTCTTTTCAACCACAATTTAAAAGCAATGTCTTATTTCACTAAATTATAATTTAGCAAATTTTTATTTATTATTACTCGTTTCAGTTTCTAGTTATTTGAGTGACTATTGTGCATTTTGCCTTTTCTTTAATGGAAGGGTCTGAATACATTTGAGGACGACTGTACAGCTGCCATTTTAGATCCGAATGTGGATGTTTGCTAGTTTTCATCATCTTCTATGGACTGTCGTTGGGTTTTGGATGAAACAAGACATTTGGAGATGTCATTTTGTTGTCTGGGAGCCTGCGAGTAATAAATGTGTAGCTTAATCAATAATCGAAATAGTCCCTAATTGCAGCTCTAGTCGACTGAACGACCACGGCTCTGTCACAGCAGACAAAAGGATATGATTTGGTGTCTCTACTGCTGCTCTCACAAGCAAATATTGCTGAACAGAGCTCGAAAAATGAGTCTTTAACATGAACATATGTAAGGATTTGTAACAGTAACCAGTAAAAAGTTGTATAAATGCCATGTTTCTGTCCATCTCCTGGCTTGTTTTATATCACAAACCAGAGCCTGCACATAATAATACTCTTCCTGCTTCACTCCACGACTCGCCCAGCCTCTTGCATCGATCCAGACATGCATCGACCTCGCCCCACACACACACACACACACACACACACACACGTCTTTGCATTCCCGGCTCTGCTCGTCTGTCTGGAGCTGTGACAGAGTCGTCTCCAGAAAGAGAACCATATCACTCCTGCAGGGGTGTGTCTGCATACGGTGATCCACAGTCTGAATGGAGGCGGGCTACAGTGGGCGCGTGTGATCCGCTCTGCACTGCAATCATGCAAAGAGGTGTGTGTGGTTAGCTGCACTGCCTGAACTACACACATGTGCTGCTTTGTTTTGTGGTTCGGGACCCGTGTGTGTGTGTGTGCATGTGTGTGTGTGTGTGTGTGTGTGTGTGTGTGTGTGTGCACCTGTCACCTGTAAACAAACCGCCCGAGTTTTCCTCCTCATTAGGCGTCTTCAGCACCTCTGTAGAGACGTACAGCCTCCCTGCAGAGAGCACAGTCATACATGCTCACATGCTGGCAGTGAAAAAGCAATTATAGCGTAGAGCTCGTCGTCACCTACATCACTGTATGCCTTCATGTCGCCAGCATCGAGTACTTTTGTGCTAAACACACACATTTCTCCCTCTTGAGTTCACTCAGAGCCGTCCGGTCGGTCCATTTTTCACCCTGAGCTCCCATTAAGAGGACGTACCCCACAGACAAACTCACCGACTACAGCACGGCGGATAATAGATTCGCTTTCTGAGGCTGATAAACAAGTGATTATTTTTCCTCCTGCCTGCCATTTGTCCTTTTTTATGCCTTCTCTGCGCATATGAACAGAGGAGTCGTGTGTACCTCTTGTCAGAGATTGATTAATGTGGTGGCTGCTTTCAGGCGAGATACTGGAAGGTGATCATACCGTTTATACTGATGCAGCTTGATGTTGCGTTTCTCCTGTAATTCCATTCTGTTTCTTTGCATATCTCCACTCTTATGCTTTCTGCTCATCCTCACCACCTGTCTGCTTCTGCGTCATTGACTGTGCTTATAATGAACCCTCTGTGACGTCACCTACAGGGTTCCTGAACAGCGATTTTAACTATTTTACTATGCAGTGCTTGACTCTACCCAACTCTAATCCAGAAATGAGCAGAGGTGGAGCAGGAGTGGACCTGAGGTGGCCCATGGGCTGTACTGTTACAGAACCCATCTATCATTCCATGTTGCCACGCGCCCTTCATTATGCATAACTTTAAGCCTTAATACATTTTAAACAGGTGATCTGTATAAAAATTCACCCAGACTGCTGTTGTCATGAACAGGGAAATTGTCTATAGAGACCAAATCTGTTATTTGTTTCAGGTGTTAAACATGTTTATTTCTACTGTGAAGTTTTAAAATGGGCCTCCACAGGGACTGACTCACTTTTTGAGCCAGCCTCAAGTGGCCATTCAAGGAACTGCAGTTTTTGCACGTCCTCATTGACTTTATTTTTTGGTCTTGGAGGTCAAAGCTTTGTCTGTGCAAACCCAATCCAGCACCAGGAAGATTATTTTACCGAATCAACTTTGTTTTTGCTGCGTGTTTTGGCTGTACTGACAACTATCATTTGATTATTTAAGCACTGAAGGAATGTTAAAAATTGGAGGATTCTCAGGTGAATTTTGAATCGTGGCCACTTTGTTCTCATCAGCCTCATGGTAATGACAAACGTATCTCATAATCAGGAGTATCTGAGTCAAGCACAACATTTGTTGGTTACAACTTTCTTTGTCAGAAATGACTGTAAACTGATCCTCCTCTGGTTTCTTGTCAAACAAAAATCATTGAAAAAAAAAGGCCTTTCCATGGTTACACATAAACTTGGCCTACTATTGGCTCATATATCTCTGATAAGCTCACAGTGAAGAATGGAAGATTGATTGTATTTATTGTATGCGTTGCATTTTTACATTTATATTTCAACATATGGTCGACGTTCTTTGTTGTTCCTAAGCTACATTTAATAGCACATAAACTGTAACACAAGTTGAGTTCAAGAGGCGCCATCTATGCTGGAAATGATTGAAGGGGAGACATGCTGTAGATGGGGGCACATAGAGGCAACACAGATTCTAATCACACAGCAGTTAATTGATTTAGATGTGAATCAAACACTGATTACAGCAACAGGGTGCTGGCTCTTCAGTGCTCGGATCGAGAACAAGTGAGCTATAAGGTGCAGCGGTTAAAATCTCCCAACGAGTCCATTAAATCACTTCTAATCTCTGCGTCTTCTTTTCTTCCGCAGTGACAAACTTCAACAATGGCTTGGAGGCCAGTTCAGACTCTGATGACGAGGACAAGCTACACATTGTGGAGGAGGACAGCCTGCAGGAGACTGAGGCCACCGACGCCGACGGGACCACGCCGCTGGACAGCCATGATGCCGCCATAACAGTATTACCCCACAATGGCTCCTGGAACGGAGGTGAGACGCCGCCACAAAAACAGGAGCTTTTGTGCGTTCAGCTCAAGGAAAAGGATGTTTCAGTGTGCAGGTTCTCACTGCAGTGGGCTCGGCAACTGTAATGTATATTTACCTGTCTTAAGACCGAACCTTGAGAATTGATCTTCACATTATTTGTTAATCTGGGAAGGTTTGCTGAGCATGTTTGCTCTTTCTCAGCGCTGCCCTCTCTCAGATTCACACAGCAACACACGTCCTCATGCGGGAGCTGCCCAGTACACCCACAGGCTTATACAAGCTGTTTCCACACAGATCTGCAGCAGCACGAGGGAAATAAGTTCAACTTGTACTCAGCTGCACCTTGGTAGGAGTAGCTCAGGCAGGTGAGGGTGTTATTTGCTTTATACACACAGATTCCCCCCCGCCTGTCTGCACAGTCGAACCAACAAATCTGGACTGAAGTCTGCTTCAAAGACATTTAAGACAATAACCAGACTGCACTCTAATTTGCACTAAAATGTCCATGCGGCTGGCATCAGTAATGTATCTCTATCTCTGCTGTAAATAAAGCATACAGGGTGCAGTGAGTCAGCTCAGTGTCGGGTAGTACTCTCATCTTTATACCATCATGCACTGGCTTTTCTGTTTCACTAGATGTATTAGAACAGAAGGAGACATTATCCACACAACTGTTGTCAAGTAAAACCAGATCAGGACAGAAGCACACTTACGTTCACCGAATTTATCGTGCGTCATTGTGTACAAGTGCTGCGCTAACTTAACAAAGTTAGTTATTTATTTTTTAATTCTTTCTTCCTAATTGAACGATGAGCTCTGAGGTGAACACACTGCACATAAACACACAAACCAGGCGTCCTGCTGCCAGCGCTGGAGGCATGAGTCAGCTGAACATGATCACAGCTCAGTGTGGTGTGACATCTTCAGATCAACAGCAATCAGAAGGCCAACATTTTTTTTTTAGCAATGAGAGCAAATGAGGAAAAAATGTGAGGTAGGCCAACGGAGGGGAGAGAAAGACGGAGGGAAAGTGTGCACATCTGAGGAATAGATACGCTTCAATAATGCCTTCAGTAATGCATAATCTTGCCGGCAGTCATGTAGAGGTTTTCCTGTATAATCTCCAGTGCTCACATCCGAAGAAAAAAAACTTTAATAAATCCTGTACAATCCCTAACAGGCTAACATGCCTTTTAATAATACAGCACTCTGCCTCAGGGCTGCACTTTACAAGCAGTTTGTGCTGCACCTCATGTGCTTGAATACTGTAAGCAACGCCTTACATGCTACATCTTCTGAGTCAGATCAGAGAGCGGTTTTGGATTTGTTTTACTTACAAACTTGCTTATTGTTTGGTACCAGAGAGGTATACCATGCAGCATTTTACATTTACAGCTCTGCTACGCTCGACATGCAGCACAATGCAAATACAGCAGATATGATTACTGAGCCGCAGCTCAGATCAAAGAGATGACTGGTGAAGTGAAAATCTGAGGGAAACTAATCCAGTCAGAGATTTGAAGAAAAGGAAAAATGTGCCTATGGAATGTAGTGTTGTGCTGTCAAATGGAATTGCTTGTTAGCACATAAAAGCTGTTGTAATGTTTTATTGTAATGAACGTATGTGGACGTATATTTGGTCTGTCAGTTACTGAACAACTTGCAGGAAGTTTCTTGATATTTCAGCCTCTGTAGGTCAGTTTTTATTTGTTTTATCCTCTAATAACCTATTCAGAAAAGGTCCTATACACTGTGCTATTGTGATTCGCCAGACGTGCTGGTGCATCTTGGGACATGTCCACCAAAAAAACGATTTAGACGTTTGTTGATCAAAGACAGCCTGCATTAATATTCAGGCTGTCAGAAAAGTGACCGCTCCTACGGCTCATGTATACTAATCAACCAATCAGCATGAGGAGACTACACTGACTGACAAAGCTACAGTCCAGGTTTTTTTCCTGTTTTTAAATTGTAGAACTACCAGATTCACCAGCTATCCATGTCTGTGCAGTCCGACAGATCGCAACAAATATTTCATTAGATCCATCTTGCAGTGTGGCATGCAATGAAGCGGCGATATTGCTGATGGTTTCGAGCTCAGTAGTTTAGGAGTGTGTCTGTGTGCATCTACCTGCTCTGTCTTTGATCAGATTAGTTCATCCTCCCCTCAGCCTCGGGGAACGCCTGCCCGCCTGCAGAGCCAGATGTTCTGCTCTGTCTGTCTCTTACTTTAGGTCTACAGCACCGCGTCCTAAAGACTAATCTAACTACAGCAAACACACACTGACACATGCTTTCTCTCCTCCTTCTGAATCGAATCTCCCCCACTCCGTCTTTCTCTGATAGAACACAAAGACGAGCCTCCTCATCATCATCATTCCTTGTCATCTCTGGGCTCAGACTGGTGTCAAACTGTTTTTCTGTTCTCCAAAAACAATGGCTTGCCTCGATATCTGAAGTCTGAAATTCTGCAAAATTACCTAAATGTTAGGCCCAATTAGAAAGAGACTTGTTTTTAGTGTTCTTTCATGTCATCGTGGTGTGTTTGTGCAGGTGTTCCCTCTATAGATTATAACATCGTGTCCTTTGCTACATTAATTTACATATTAATTAAAAAAGAACAGACCTGTATACTAAAACTCATATATTGTTTAAATACATCTTTATAGCTCTTTTCCTTTAGCCACATTGTACATAAGCAGGGCTCCAACAAACCAAATTAATGATAGTTTCCAGAATGGGTCTTTCAATGTCTGTGGCTTTTAAAACCACTGAGCTGCTACTGTACGCCATTCAGGAAGGAGACTCTCTCTGCATGTGTGATTGTAAGTGTGGAGCGAAACCGTTGACAGCTGATACAGACAAGAATGAACTTTCTCACTGAGTGATCATTTGACATGGAAATATCTTGCATTTCACAGCACAGCCATTGTTTTTAGTTCATGTGTTTGCAGACAAAGATGCAGTTATCAAATGAACATTTTAGCCGTGCAAAGCAGCGGATTGGGGGAAGGGCTCTGAGGTGACTGCTGGTTAACATGTAGTTTTAATCGACTGTGTTTTAGTCACTATTTTAAACTTGTTCCGCTGTCTTACAAGAGAAATAGAAAAATATGGAGAACAGGAGAACAGCTTTATTGAGAAGCTTTAAAATGCTGTATTTTTGCGCACAGAGAGCAGGAGAGAAGAAAACTGATTTAAACACCAGCTGAGTTTAGGTTGTACTGATGCAGATGTCATAAAAACACATTAAAACACACACAGCTCCAAATATGTCTAAATGTTTCCACCATCTCCTGCTCTCAGCTGTGGTTATGCCATTAAAGCTAATGCCAAGATAGCATGCTAACGCTAAGGATAGTGTTGTGCTGCCATTGCCACCAATAATAAAACGAATCCACTGAGTCTTTAATTTTGCTGGGAGTGCATGAAGCCTCTCATGTTCACTCTTGCAGCCAACAGCAGAACGTTTGGTGTATTTTTTCTCATGACTGAGACATGTTAGAGTCAACAGAAGCAGCTATAGAATGTAAACAAATCTGGTGGACTGTGAGGCAGAAGCTCATTCTGACTGGATCACCTGGAAGCAACAAGCAGACAGACGGCAGCCACAAAACATAAACTCATTTTCACTGAGACATTTAAGGACATCTTCTGTTGTTGTTTTTTTCTTTACTGTTTAATATTCAGCCTACCAAAATGCAGTTGAGACATTTTTACATTTGTAAAGTTTGAACAAGAGCAATTTGGTGTTTGTTGATTGGACATTTATTGTTGAAGATTGTTTTTCTTTTGATTGATTAATAGATTAATCTGTTAATTATTTAAGTTTTGCAACCGAGTCCATCTAATTCCACCTACATGCTATGTAAAGACAGCACTGTTGACTGAGATATTAGTGAAATAATAATGTAATGACTTTCCTCATTAGCACTGCTGGGATGGCTGTTGACTGTTGGGAGTTGAGTCAGCTGAACTGCGTCTTGTTTGTGTTTGCAGACAGGTTTCTCTGCACTGCATGTCCACTTGACAGAACAAGTTTAGTCATGCAGGATGCATCACATCAGCTTTATTAAACACACTTGGACCTCACGTTGCTTCTAAATCAGCTTCCGTCCATCCTTCCTCCTACTCTGCCCGTTTATAGTTTCAGAGGTTTCACCAGCTGCAGGAAGTGCAGACAGAAATAGACTTTTTGGAAGCTTTGTGTCCTTATTTTGTTTTCTCAATTGGTTGTCGTCTTACTTTCAGACAGCACAGAAAAGCTCTTTAAAACTCTTAAAATTTAAACCTCCAAATACCCTCCAGTAAGTAAGTTTGCAGGATCAGCACTTACCCTTGTAGCGCACTTTCAAAAACACACCTTAGCTTGCAAACAAAACAGCAAAAGTGCCACCAGATTTAACAAGCAGAGGCAGAACCAAGTTTGCATTCAACAGCAGAGGTTGATTGGCTTGTGTTTACACCGATTCTCAATGCCCTTTTAATCCTCGATTCCCTGCAAACAGCTCAGCCTACGCAAGCATCTGCCTTCATCTCAACACCAGTCAGTTACAGCCAAGCAGGAAATACTAAAACCATGGAGACGGTGAGAATGTGACACTCAGAGATATTGCTCTGAAGGCTTGTTTCATTGTTGCTGAATAAAGCCTTACATGGTGTGAGCAGTGCTCAGGACTGCTGCTCACTCTCTTTCGCTTTGTTTCTCTCCCTCTCTCAGCTCTATCCTTTCTCCTCTGTATACTCACTGCTTCTCTGCAGCCAGTGATCCCTTTTCATTTCTTTGTGATCTTCTGCTAGGCTTTTCCTCTTGCCTTCTTTTGCCTTTGTTTCCCACTTTGCCTTTCCTCTCCTCCTTGCTTCTTCTCCTCCTGCTAAGTATCTGACTACAGATACTGTATGAAAGTCTCTCCTCTGTGTTTGAAGTGATAGGTGCTGCTCTGGCTTTGGATATTATTAATTATCCATGGAAGCTTTGCTAAGCTTGTTGTTGTTGTTGTTAT